TTGTGTTTTGTTAAGCCGAGGAAAAATAGCGTTGTCCCATAGCTCTCGGGTGTTTGATAATTTTCAGACTAAACCTCGATTAATTGAAAAGAAAACGGGCAAGTTGGCATTAACATTCGAAACTATTCGAAAATAGTGTCATGAATATAATCAAGAGAGTTAAACCTTATTATAAGATTAACACTAATAGTTAATTCTGTATATATAAAGGGAAGCAGGGTTTCTAAAATCCTTTAATAATTTCACGACACGTGACCTTTCATTTTCTTATAAAAGTGGTAGTGGAACGGACTAGTAAAATGGCCCCGCCGGAAACCGAAGGAAGATTACTTGGAGTTGTAATATGGTTTTTTATGAGGAAGTTTTCGGCCCACCGTCCTGCGACTTTAATAAATCTTTGCTGATATTTTGTCTGCGAGATATCGTTATTACATAAATAAATTAGAGTTTAATCCTGCAAAATTTACGTCTGTCTAGTTTGGGTTTGCATGTGCGTTGTATGTAGGCAGTGCTTACTAATTAGTCGAGATACGATAGTCCTAACCAGTCTACAGACTAGTAAGGCCTCTTTCCCTTACTCAAAAGTTTCATTTTGGCCATTAACAAGAAATTTTTCCCACTCAATTCCCCACTTTCTCTCATTCTTCTGTGTATATCTGCTTATTTTTTCACTTCTATTTACGTTCTAAGCACCCACTTATTTGTAAAGTGGCAATGTTCTGCAAAATGTTGAGTTTTAGTATCTACCGGATGAGCATACAATCTTGTTTCAACTTATGACGATTCAGTATCGATGTACACTATTATTCCGTGAAGCGGGGCTGAACAAATTTTCGAGTCCACTTCCAAAGAAAACTGTTGTTTTAACCACCAGTTTCGACTCACACTTTGTTGCTAATCCATTTTATAGGTAAGAAGCGTAGACATTGAAAGAGGTTGAATATAATTCTTCAATATTTTTATTGTGCTCCTCACAGGGGAATAAACACTAGGAAATAGGAAGGTGTTCTCAGTGACTCGTTGTCTTGAAGTGCTCACAAGAATGGTATCCAGCTTTGATGATGTTAATGATATGATACACAAAAGCGTGAGTTTGCCTCGAGTGATATGCCAACCCCGAGGGTCAAGCAAATACCGACAACAGCTGTCGTTTTCTGGTGAGATTAATGTTTAAATTTCTTCATCACCTGCTTACATTGGAAGTGAACATAAGCCGAACAATTTGCTCGTAGCTCATAAGCATTTCGTTTATACATTAGTGTATTTTTGTATACAACATTAAACTCCTATAAAGTCGGTTGAGAACTTAGAAAGATGTAGTAACAAGAAAAAAGTAATTTGAAATCCGTTTCAGGAAACTTGGAACTAAGCCAGAAGGCTACGGTTGCTATTCCAGGCATGCTGAGAAGGAGAGAGCTGGAAAAAATTTAATCATAAATAAGAGTATAAACTTTTATGGCTACGCAAAAGCGTTGAGGCCAATCGTTCTCTTTAAAAATGATCTTTTGACAGGTCATGTAATCTTTTTCATTTAATGATTACGTCAAGTATACCTTATGCATAAACTATAAAGGGATGAGAAATCCAGAATTTTCAACAAGCCTCTCTCTAAAGTTCTAATCTTTTACAAAGTGTAATCAATAAAATCCTGTGGTTTTTCCCACTTTTAGCTGCTATCATATCATGGCAAAGCGGATGAAACCAGATTTTAGCAAAATAAATGTTCAGTTTTATAGTTTCTGCAAATCCATTATCCAAAAACTGCTTTGCTAGTAGACATTATGCTCACTAGAATATTATTGTTTTTCAATTTTGGTAAAAAATTCAACAAAGTCCTAATCAAAGCCGTTCTGAGGAGACCTTGTTGGCAAGTAGACTAAACTCTCTTGAATGCAGGAAGTTGCCTAAATTTGGAGTCATCCGGAGCAAACGACGGAATATAGAGTTGTGGTCACTGGCGTCTGAGTCAGGCTACTTGAGATGGAGCGTCTAAAACATAGATTTGGGCCTGCAAATCTGAATATCAATTCCAGTACCTCATCTATCATCGTGACAGAAAATGTCAATTGGCAGGAGGAATTCAATTTCACTCTTAAATCAGAGACGATGAACGACGAAAAAAACTGATTCAATGACACTTCTCTTGTTTATATTTTTATTCCTAGACCAATTGCTCCTGAGCACTGAGTACTAAAGTGTTAAGGCTCGATTTCCAGGATACTGGATCGGCTGAAGTCGGGCTTTTGCAGCAATCTGAGCATCATAGGAGTCCAGTCTTCAAACTAGGCCTTCAATCGGTCTCCTGATAAATTCCAGAACATGGAAGTAACCTCCGCCTTCAACTCAATGCTCAATTCGGCGCAATTGCCTCATTCACTTTCTCGGAATGTACATGATAGGCGGTCTTAACGGCCTGTACCTACATTCAACTATGCCGGCATGAGCCTTATCTCTATCTCGTCTTATTTTTCTTCCTTTCGCGTTCGCCTCCACACACTCCTGACTTTCGCTGGCTCATTTTCACTGCGTGAACTGCTCATATTGCCTTATCACTTCCGTATCATCTTGCCATCTCAAATTTGAGCAAGCTCAATTATCATCCCGGCAGTGTCTTCCAGTCTCCCCGCCCACCTCATCTCTCCGACTGCAGACGGCCATGCCTTCCTGGCCACCTCGTCAATTTGTGAATCGAGGTATCCACCCGTGCCCCATTCAACCGGCCACCAGCAATGGCCACCAACATCATCACCACCACAACAGCTAAACCCACCTTTCCCCCATAAGGCGTCGGACGTACGCATGGTTTGTTCCAGTCGCCCTCTCACCCCAAACCTCTTCGCCGCATGCCAGTTGGCAGGATGCAGCAACCTAAAATCTTGCTCTGCCTAAATTGTAATCGATCCGGGCGCCTCATCGCCTCGATAGAATCGCGTCACTAGAGATGGCATAGCATACACACAGGGCTCCTCTTCGCCGGCACATGACTCTGCTCTACTGACTGCAACTTGGAGAAGTGACTTTGCGGCTTTTTATGCTAGCCAGACAGGAGGAAACTGCCGCATTGCTGTCTGAGCTCGAGATGTCCGTCAAAAAGGTATTATAATAGCTTCCGCTCTGACGGTTGTTCAGCACCTCTGCTCCTATCCTCGGCTCGCCTCTGCGTCCTCTCTCTCTTTTTCCTACTCGCCCCTTGGGCTCATTGATACCTCTCGGACATGCCGATTCAAGTCTAACCCCTCGAACTCCCCAATTCGTCCACTTAAATTTTCTCTGCTTCATCAACACAACCACTCTGAACGCACGAACATAAGTATAGAATTAGTCAGAGGCTAGTTAACTCGAGTGGTCGTTCGAGATGATGAAGCAGGTTGTTGTGTGGTAAGGTTAGAGTATAAGCAACGAATTAGGGGTCTTGACACATCTGAGACAGGGAAAAAATATAACTGGCGATCGCGATACAAAGTGAGGCAACGGAGAGCCAAGAAAAGGACAATCGTGAAGACATGTGGGAAGCTGTGCGTGCTTTGTCTTGGGGATACTCGAAGCTGTTAAGGGAGAAAGAGCTGTTTACTTGAATGCAAACGAAATAAATAGGAATTAATTGGAAAGAGGAAATAAGGTCGAAGCATCAATTTTACAGAGGAAAAGAAAATGGAAAGAAACGTGAAACACGATGCCTCACGTGAAAAAGTATTTAGTGGAAGAGAAAAAGCATGATTCTGATGTGTAATGTCTTTGGAGCCTGAGGTTTTGTATGAAAATGGTACATGCAATGGGTCTAAAAATGAATACGATGGATGAAGCAAAAATTGGCAAAGAAAAAGCGATAAAAATCTGGTCGCATCGAAAATGAAGGATCTAATGACCCATATGAGACAAAGTCACATATGAATACTCCTCGATACTATCATGTATCCTTTATTACCACGTCTTTGGGATTTCAGTTCAGTAAAGGGGTAACGTTCTTGGAAAGCTTAACATGCGTATAAAGCAAGGTTTAATTTAATCTGACAACCGAGTTAGGGGGCAAAATAACTTTTCGAAGTGGGTTGACCTCGTTGTCGCAACTTGGTCTTGTGTTTAGGGAGACGAAGTCCGAAGTCGTCTGCCATAGTAGT